TTACAGAAATAGATATGGTGATATATATAATATATACTTTCCTATCTCATGTATTATCTTTGTTACAGATCTAGATATGGTGATATATATAATATATACTTTCCTATCTCATGTATTATCTTTGTTACAGATCTAGATATGGTGATATATATAATATATACTTTCCTATCTCATGTATTATCTTTGTTACAGATCTAGATATGGTGATATATATATATAATATATACTTTCTATCTCATGTATTAACTTTGTTATAGATCTAGACATGGTGATATATATATATAATATATACTTTCCTATCTCATGTATTATCTTTGTTACAGAAATAGATATGGTGATATATATAATATATACTTTCCTATCTTGTGTATTATCTTTGTTACAGATCTAGATATGGCGATAGCATACTGGAATATAGTGCTTGCTGGAAGATTTAAATTTTTAGACCTTTGGTGTAAATTTCTTCAAGTAAGTATAACATTTTTAATGTACCTTATTAGAAAGCCCAGGAATTAAAGTTTTGTATGCCTCCTCTCTGGTAAAACCAACCACATGTTCAATGTTTCTCATTCAGCATTCCTGGTAGTATTGTCTCTAGAGGGTGCTGACCATGACCCTCATTATATATGCTATGGGATGACCTTTGACCGTTTATCAGAATTGAGGCTGATGTATGCTTTAAAGAATTGTGAAAGTAAAGTTTGATTAATACGTTTGATGAAAGTTTTTGTAAATTGCTATTATATTGGCGATTTTCTTTCTGGTTTGTTTTCATGTGTAACATGTTATTTAAAGCGGTTGATCTTTTTTCTTTGATTTTTATTTTCAATTAAACATTTCTTGTGCCATTAGTGTCAATTTGTAACACTAAGAGCATATCATATACATGTATGATATATACATGTATCAATGTACTACATTAAATCACTTACTGGTACAAGTGGAAAAAGATGGGTTGTGACCAGGTCTCCAGAGGGCGGCAACTAATTAATTCCGGTTTTCCGGATTATGGTACAAAAACAGCCCTGAACAAAATGTCAAATATGTTGCCCTTTTGAGAGGCTAAGCCACTTTATTTAAACAAATAAATGTTCAAAATCACAGCTATTGCCTCTTAAATGGAATACTCACCTGAGCCCATCTGCTAATGTATCATTTTCTTGTATAGCTAACATTAGCATATGACAATTGCCAACAGGGTTAGTGAAAGCCGACTTACTGAATGTTTGTTTTTAATTTATTTTTAAAGGAACACCATAAAAAGTCCATTCCAAGGGATACCTGGAATCTATTATTAGATTTTAGTAATATGATTGCAGATGATATGAGTAATTATGATGAAGAAGGTAAGATGATATATTGTGTGTAATTACTTGCCATTTATTATACATGTTGAACAAGACAAATCCACAAGTGTCTAATACAAAGACCAACCAAACTATATACTTAAACCGCATTAATGTTGCAAGAGACACAACTTCGCAAATTTCACGAGTCAGTGAAATTTTGTAGCACCGAAAATTCCTCTGGTGTCAGTGACTTTCACCAACTTTTGTCTTCACTAATCATAATAATTCAGTGAAGTATATAACTAAATAATTGCATAGTTTTGTGGTGTTCCAGATAATCTGAAAGACCCACTTATTTACAAATAATCCAGTGCTGTATACGGTACTAATGTAGTTTTAGAGTACTAGTAGTCATCATTTTTGGCATGATATTTCAACCTAGGGAAAAAATCTAATAATAGCTTCACATTGTAATTACATCATATTGACCCGTGTACAAACTGATGGACAGCTACTGCAATACTGTTTCTTACTAGGTTTATCATTGTTTTCAGGAGCCTGGCCTGTCCTCATTGATGACTTTGTGGAGTTTGCAAAACCATTTGTACAGGGAAAGAGTACAACTGTTTGACAGAATGACTCGTACATATATAGTGAAATTGTGTGTATAGTTGATTGCCATGCCAATCTGTTATCTTATTACCAAACCAGTACTTTTATGATAACCATGTAGCTGACTAATTGGGCTGGGTTTCATTCCTCAGGCAACTTTTTTTAGTCAACAATGAGTTATTTTCCATGGAATGTTCTTGTTTGTGGTCCAGGAAAGGTGAATGTTTCACCTGTTCCATTTATCAAAAAGTGCTAAGAATCAAGCATGTTAATTGTAGTGTTTTGGGGATTGGGTATGCTGTAATATATGAACTGATATCAGCTACATGGTGTATCTAGAAATTAAAGTAATGTACAGAATTTATGTTATTTAAATTTGTTCACTCCCTTGATTTTGTGTGTCAATTTTACCTACAGATGATTTTATTAATTTTTTCACCATCACAGGACTATTGAGTCATTTATAAGTAAATTTTTTGGTTGCTTACCCTGGACAAGCAGTTTTGTACAAGGTTTTCTGCTTGAATAATCTGTGTTTGCTTTTGGTTTGCCTGCTAACCTGGTCTTAGTTTTTAAGGTTGTGTTTTCTCCAGGTGCCTGACATCGGTATATTGCAAATTAATTCACAAATTAGCTTAATTACCAAGGTATTAGTTGTTATATTTTATCAATATCTAAGATTGTACTCAAAGTGTGGATGCCAAAGCAAAAAGCCATGCATAAATTTCTACTCAGCTGTCAACTATCATGATTTATTCGAATACATGTATAATAGTCAAAAGACCCAAATCAAATTTTCAACGTCCCCAACAAAATGAAGTTTCTTTTTTTAATTTTATGTATTAAAAAAAATACTATTGTGATCAACACATATGACACTATAGTAGTAGATATTCCTATTAATATTCTTGTAAATTTCAGCAACCCTTACCTTCTCTCATGCCAGGTTTTTGTTTTCCCAGCAAGTTGATTATAATTTACCAGAGGACACATTGCTTTTCATTGTAATGTATACTTTATCTGGAGCCAGTTGTTCACACTTGATAAATAGAAGGAATCAACAGTAGCATGAAATGTGATGTAATGGAAATAAAGAGCCCCCCCCCCCCCTCCCTCAGCATTTTTTTTTTAATTTAATTTAATTTAAAAAAAAAAAAAACACAATGTATTTGGAAACACGCAAGTAATTTACAGTGTTGTTGTCTCAAGTCATGGATGCCTGGAGTAAGAGAACGCACATATCCAAGTGTTCTTGACAGTTTTATTTTTCATCTTAACAGTTCTTAATGTTAGCATTGATGAAGTTAGGAGAATGTAAATTATTGTATTGTGAACAACAGCTGTTTAATTTATATCAGAGTTTTTAGGGTCTGTCTTATTTTCCCCACTGAATGAAATGGTCTAAAAATATGGACATTGCGATGATGTGACATTCATCATTTCTATGTATTGTAATATAGTATAACTACAATTTAGACTACATAGATTTTCAGTATTATTGAATTTTTAAGTTATTATCAAAGTCTCCTTCGATGTGTATTGTATTTGGTTTGGCAAGGTTGAGGTTTGTGCCCATCCACTTAAAGTCCACATTAGAAAGTGTATTAGCAATTAAAATATTTTTTGTTTTCGATATTGTAAAAATTAGACTCAAGCCACTTTGTCCAGCAAAAAATAATATTTGGTAAACTGATTTCAGTGTCAGACTGTTTTTATTGAATAAATTAAGCTTGAACTTGAGTGTGATTTATCCCCCCCCTCCCACAAGAAAGTTTAAAATTCATTTGCTTTATTTTGTGTTTGTATCTATAGTCTGCTATAGTCTGGTAAAAGTATGGGTCTTTGTAGTCTATGTATAGTAGTGAGACTTATCTCTTATCTGCTATGGTAAATGTGTGAACTTTTGAGGGTCAGAACATCTTCTGTAATGAGGGAGCCTTATCTATAATCTATGGAAAATGTGCATGTCTTTCAGAGAGCGAGTCTTGTCTATAGTGTGGTAAATGTGCAAGTCTTTCAGGGTAAGAACTGTATATAGTAGTAGTTTACTATGGTAAATTTGTGAGCCTTTAAGGATCATAACAGTCTACATAGCGAGTGAATCTGTCTATAGTCTGGTAAATGTGTGAACCTTTCAGGGTCAGAACAGTATATAGTACATGTAGTAGTCTACTATGGTAAATGTGTGAGCTTTTGAGAGAGGATGTCGACCTGTAGAGTTGGTGGTGTGCAAAGCTGCTAAATGATCAGTAATCAAAACATTGTTGGGGGGTATTCGAATTAACATTTAAACCTACATTTTTATAGGGGATTTCATACTGTATTTTTATAGTCCCTGTTTGAAAAAAGTTTCTAAACGGGGACTTATAATTCGGTCTCTGTCTGTCCATCTAGAGTCGTATTTCAAAACCTTGTGGACCAAATCTGTTCATTCTTTGCACTTTATCTGAAAATTTGGTATCTTGTGCATGCTCTGTCAGTTTTTGTTCAAATTTGGTACATATATTATATATGTTAGAATGCATGTCTATTTGTTTCGCAATCAAAGATGGCTGACTGGTAGCCGTCTTGTTTTTTTGAAAATGTGTTATCTTGGACAGGATTTGTCGATTTTCATTCAAATTTGATACAAACATTATACATGTTGAGATACACGTACATGATTCGTTTAGTATCTTTATACATGAGCATGCACAAATGAAATTCAGTTTGGATACAAAAAATGCATGAATAGCATATTCTTTTTAATTACTGAGCATATATTATGATTTTGTTATTTAATACATCTAATTTCTATTGATAGACCAGCCAATTATTCACTGTATATTACTTTATTTTTTGCATGAATAACATTTACCCTAATTCCAATAGGCACGAGGTCATGAACAATTACTTGTCAGTCCCTGTTCGTACGTAGTCCGAAAACGGGGACTTGTGTTTTGATCTTACAATCAAACTTCACACATACATCATACATGATATACATATACATGTCAATTTGTTTTGTGATCTGATTCAAGATGGCCGAATGTCGGCCATTTTTGTGCTAAAAATCATCAAAATCAAACATTTTCGGCTGTTTACAGATGGATTTTGTTCAAAATTGGTATATACGTTAGACATTATAGGACCTTGATGCACATCATTTTGTTTTTCAGATAAGATTCAAAATGGCCAACTGGTGGCCATTTTGTTTTAATGAATGTGGTTCTAGTGCCATATCTCTGACTTGCTTTAACTGATTATGTTCAGATTTTAAATATTCATTATAGATCATATCATAGATATACAGATATATTGGTTTGACGATCCTATTAAAAATGGCCAAATGGTGGCCATTTTTGTGCTAAAAAATCATCAAAATCAAGCATTTCCTGACTGTTTACAGATGGATTTTGTTCAAACCTTGTACATACATTGGACATTATAGGACCTTGATGCACATCATTTTGTTTTACGATCTGATTCAAGATGGCCGAATGGCGGCCATTTTTGTGCTAAAATTTCCTAAAAATCAAGCATTTTTTGGCTGTTTACAGATGGATTTTGTTCAAACTTGGTATATACGTTAGACATTATAGGACCTTGATGCAAATAATTTTTTTTTTCAGAAAAGATTCAAAATGGCCGACTGGTTGCCATTTTGTTTTAATGAATGTGGTTCTCGTGTCATATCTCTGACTTGCTTTCACTGATTATGTTCTAATTTTAAATATTCATTATACATCATGTCATAGATAAACAGATATATTAGTTTGACGATCCTATTCAAAATGGCCGAATGGTGGTCATTTTTATGCTAAAAATCATCAAATATCAAGCATTTCTGGCATCTATGGATGGATTTCATTCAAACTTGGTACATACATTAGACATTACGGGTTCCTGATGCACGTCATTTTATTTTTCAGATTGGATTCAAAATGGCTGACTGGCAGCCATTTTGTTTTAATATCTCTTAAATGCTTTGACTGATTATATTCAAATTTTATATATTCGTTATACATCATGTTATATATATACATGTATTCAAAATGGCTGATTTTGAATGCTGTTCCAGAGCAATATCTCTCAATATGGACAAGTACTTTTTTGACGATCAGATACAAATTTCAATCATTTTAATGTTAAAAAATATTTCTGACATGGTTATATTCCAGTTATATTACTATAAACAAAACTATACATCTTAAATTTGATAACTAACAGGGACTGCCATGCATGGCTTGTTTTTTTCAAAATTATCTGTGTATATTGTATATAATTGTAACCATAGACCCTCTAACAGAGGGTCTATGTTGTAACCAATTAATATTGAATAATATATATTTTTTGGTAATATATCACATTTGAATTCAATGTATCAAATATACCCTGAATATTATGCAAATTAGCTGTAACACTTAAATGTGCCTTTGAGAGAATAAGTCTACTGTGGTAAGTGCGAGTCATTCAGAGTAAGAACACTATTATAGATAGTCAGGTCAACTGTGGTAAATATGCCAGTCTTTTCAGGGTCAGAGTGATCTATATATAGTTACTATGGTACGTGTGTGAGCCTTTGAGGGTCAGAACAGTCTCTTTATAGAGGGGGTCTGGTCTAATATGATTCGTGCACAAGAATTTTGGGGCCAGTATAACCTAGAGATTGAGTTTTGTTTTCAGTGTACTTTGGGTAAATGTGTGAGTATTTTGAAGGTCAGAACTGGATATTTGAATCTGGTCAGGATTCCAAACATTTTCTTTGAGTACATGTGCCATCAACATAGCTGTGGCATACATACATCAAAGAATGGCATAACTGGAAAACAAATATTTTTGTGTATACAATTAGGGAAGAACAACTTTGAGGGGGGGGGGTGTACAGACACTGATGGCTGTACAAGTGCCACTGGCTGGATTGGAATAAAATTTGGCCAGTTTATCTCTATCAAAGCTATTCAATACTGATTGTCAATTCCATGAATAATATCTCTGATTTTCAGCTCAGACCCAATGAATACTGTTCACTTTAATAAAAGTGTTCAGTTTATAAAGCGCCCTCTACTGCACATGAAAGAGAATTCAGATAAAATGCATCAGTTCTGATCAAACTGACAGCTCCACACTTGTAAAGTGTTCTCTGACACTGCCAAAATTTATCCTACCCCATCCTCAATATTTTTCTTGCGTCAGACTTTACATCCCAGAAGTCCTTGTGCGTTTTTGTCCCATACTAATAATATGGCCAACTTCATAGCATTTTGAGGTGCCACTACCACATTTTATGCACAGGTTTTCGAAAAACAGTTAAATCTACAAGCCATCTCAAATGACTGCCTGCATCCTACATTTCATAGTAGTGGTCAGTAAATTGACAATTATTTGGTACACTTGCTCTACTTCATTACATGGAACACTTTCTCTGCAAGTCGTATACCTTTGGAGCAATATTTACAGAATCATTCTATCAATAGTCTGTAATTCACTACGATGCATTTAGTTTCAACTCTGTTCCACATATAGGACAGGAGTTCATTATTTTGGGGGAAATTGTAGACTTTTATTAAATATATCGACAAAATATATCAAAGAATTTTTTTTTAAAACAGCATGAAAAAAACATTTTAAATATGCATCTAAAAGTTTGACTTTGCACAGTTACTCATTATAAAACAATACAAAGCTTCATGCTACTGTTCTTTGATATTTTTTTACCAAGTGAATAAAAGGTTGCACTAATGCCACACTTTGTGGCCCATGCGTGGAGCACCAACATGTGGTAATATTGTGACTGTTGGTACATCAATATGAGCAATCAATTGTTTTTGTGTGCTCGGTTCCTTTTCCACTGATATAGGGAACCAAAAGGCTGAACTGAAAGGAAATTTGATACAAGCTACCTGATGGTTGAAATAGCTCCACTGTTTCATGTGCGCACACATGTAGTTAAAGTAGAGGGGTCGTCACCTGCACAAGCATGGGGAATTGAGCCCCAAGCGACAATAACAATTAACGTTTAAAACGCTATATGGCAGTCTGTCGCATGCACAGGTGTTGCTTCCTCACTTTAAATAAACATAGTAGACAAACAAATACATCTATCACTGATAAGGATAAGTTTAACAGTTACCCAAGTTTTGGGATTCATTAACTCCAGTTATAGGATATGTCAGTGAATTAGTAGATAGTTCTAATCTAATAGAGGTCCATCCAAGATGTCAATTCCTCACTTTAAATAAACAGACAAACAAATACATCTCACTGATAACAGTTACCCAAGTTTTGGGATTCATCAACTCCAATTATAGGATATGTCAGTGAATTAGTAGATAGTTCTCTTTGAAAAGAACTAATCTAATAGAGGTCCATCCAAGATGCATGTACACACTATGTATCAAATCAATCAAACCAGTAGTAATCAGGAAGAAGTATTTTTGATCCAAAGTATGTTGATGACAAACAATCATCTATACTAATAAATCTGTGCATATTAATTTAGGGTAATTTGCATAATTGCTGAATTTTAGCATGCTCATATAATTTGAAATTTGGTGCATGCATACCTGGCAATATAGATATCAAAAAATGATGTAACTGTTGCCAAGTCTAATTCAATATTAGGCATACTGCATAACCGGCAGCATAAACACAGCATATATCACAGTACAATATTTGTTCTATAAAAAGTGCCGATGAAAATCACTTGTTAAAAAGATTAGCATATTGTTTGCAGTGCAAGTTTGGTGTACTTCACATGTAACAAAAATGATTTTTATGCGCCACTACTGAAGATGTGCTTTTAATTGAACGAATGCAGTATATGAAAATAATTACATTCAATACACTTAACGCTTTAATGGATTTATGAGGACACCAGTGAGATTTTCATAGACTGGTGGAATTCATAAAAATTTGTTTATCTCATAAAATTAAGAGTTTACAGTAGTGTGCTACAAAGAGTTTGCAATTTACATGATTACACAGTACTGAGTAAAACAAATTGCTAGTTAAAATGATAATAGTACTACACACTACATGATTGGCAAACCCATCTTTGGACAAGATACATACATATGACAATTTATTGAACTATCAAAACATATTTCAAAAAAAGTAGCTTGAAATCAGTATGCCACTCATTTACAGAACTGCACATAAAAAAAAAAAGAGGTATTTAAAAAAAAAACTTTATCAAGAAATTTCATACATAATATTTCAGTTTTTCTTTTAATTTTCTACTGGTGATTTATGTAACACATTACATTCTTTCTTACAAAGTTTACCATCGTAACTACAAGTATAAAAAGAATGTTTGAATGTTTAGCGGTAAGTGCTTATACTTAGGTAGGTATTATGACGTAATTGTCATATACATGTAGATTTAGCAGGAATAGGGAGCACTTGAGAGCTAAACCTGTAAATATATAATGATTATGTCATAATACCAATGGTAGTATAAGCAATTTCAGCTAAACCTTAAAAATTGTTGAAAAAAATGGTATTTATATATTTTGTGTATTAAATTACAAAGTATTCTATAATAAAAAGGATCTGTTTAAAAAAAAAGAACTATTAGTGGAAAAAGGACACTTAGGAAGGAAAATATTACTTTCTTGTTATAAAAGAACCAAAAATGAAGAGATGTTTTTTTTATATACTTAATCATAAACATGATTTTTGTAGAATATTGTTCATTATAATGTTTCGGAAAAATGAAGACCACTTTACTCCATTTTATAACACTTGTCTAAACAGACATGATTAAATCATCGTTTATCGAATCCATCCCCCATTGCATAATGAATAGTTTTGTTCTGTCTAGCCAGGTTTTAATCTTTCTAATAGACCAAAAATAGATCGACGCAACTTATTCCCACCTGATAAAGTAAGTAAAACCATTCAATGAAGTAGTATGTTGTTTGCAGTGCAGCACCATAGATTTTGTTGGTTTTAAAAATAACTGGTATGAAAATAGCACCAATGAAATATAAGTACAAGGTTAGGAAAACATCTAAAAATAGTCTTTAAAAATATTGATTATAAAATACACAGTAAAAAAATTTAAACTTGGTTATCATTAAATAGTGGGCAGAGAAGGTTTATAAAAAGTCGGCTAAAAGAACAAATTTATTTTGTAAATTTTCAAAACTTGTTCATGAAAGTTAAAATTATCAAATGCCTCAAAATTGGTATATGAAATTTATGAAATATTAATTCCACATAAGGTTTACTTTTTGTAATCTTTTGTCAACAGTCATTAAAGTTTCTGACAGACTTGACAGCGACTAACACGATTTCTGAGACTACCTGCTTTAAGTGTCTCTCTACTAGGAATTGCAAACTGTTCATTATCACCTATTGTTACCAGCCAAAAACTGTATTTATTAGCAAAGAAATGACACAAGCCACGCCCATTACACTCAATAAACGGAGTTGCTCTGAAATCTTCCAAGCAGGATCCAGGACTTGACAGCGATTGACCACCACCTTCAGCTCCAGATGCAGTGTACTGGGGAAGAAAAAAAGAATATTTGTGAAAGTTTTTATGAATTTAGTTGTGATCAAGTGTGAGTGACATCTTGAAAAAATAATAGCTACATGCAAGGATTTTATAAGATAAGAATGTGAAATATCTAGGATATGCGATAACATTTATTTCCATATGCGAGTCAATCAATAGTATTTCAAACAATTTCACAAAAGTATTTCTAGAAATGAACAATCCTATTTGTGTTCACCATGCAATTTGTGCGACTTCACATTTGGATTTTTATCACAGATCACATAACTTGCATTTTTTTTATCTTATAAATCCTTGATAAAATTGCCTGAATACATCATTCTGATTGGGCAGGGACATGTTTATAGTTATGCAAGCAGTGATTAAATAGACCACGTTATTTCTTGTTTAGAAATAGGCTGCAAATGTAAAACCTAGAGGTTAATCTTACTCTCAACTGAATTCGGGAACAAGTATTGTTTTGTATTGCGTTCTATGTCCATAGAAAGAACACATTAACTCTCAGGTATTTTAGATTTGAAAGAGATGCAGAAGAAAACTAATTTTACAGAAATATGCAAACAACTGATTGTAGTGGCCTGCTCACAATGTGATCATGCGTGGAATTATGTCAACTGAGACAATTTCATATGTATCTGTCAGTTTTTTCATCATTGAGCTACACTTACCATAGCAAAACTGTAACCAATCCACAAACCATCCCATCCACGTGGACAGCGTGGTACAGTGAGATCTTGACTGTGAACAGCTATGATTTGTTTTGGTGCTTCACATACCACACATCTACTAATATATGGAATGATATCAGTTTCACCAACTGGCATCATTGGGATTGGTGCACTAGATGACAACCAATAAGATTTGTCGTTACGACTGGCATAGTTGCATACATTGTTTATATTACAGAACACAAAAGGCATCGTGCTGAACATAGGCAAACAGGAACCTGCCATTCCTAGAAGAACAAAATATTATGGAATTATTGACATTGTAAAAAAAGTTTACCAGCTTTTTGACTAGAACACAGATTGAGGGTGTTCCAGTCAAACTCAAATTTTGCACTACTGTGCATGTTACTATATGCAATGCATTATGGGAGAGAAATTACCATTGAATACAATAGGGAAAATAGTATCACACTGAAAATAATATTTTTTAAATGTGACCTTGAAAGTGAGTATTGTACTTAAGTCCCATGATACATATAACCAAGAGATAAAAGCAATATTTGGAACTGTGTGGCAGATTATAGACTGGCAAATCATTTAATTACTGTGGAATACTTTATTTTCACTGCAATTAATTTTCGCTGAAAAGGTATTTTGGGCGTTTTGCTTGGAATTTATTTTCACTGATTTTTGATGAGATTTAATGTAAAATATAGGAAAAAATGTATATTCACTGGATTTTATTTTCACAGAATCATCCCTTCAGCAAAAATAAATTCCAAGCGAAAATAATTAAAAGTATTCTACAGTATGTTCCACATAATACGAGTCAGCTATCTTTAATCAGAACTTCAAATAAATGCACGTCAATGTGTGTGATATTGTGTATAACTCATGTACATTTAAAATGCAATCTGTTTATGCATCTCACAGACAGCACTCGGGAACAAAATTTTTAAAAACATAGTTGAACTCTGGTGACCTTGCCCTTTGTTATATAATATAATTCCCTTTATCATAGTTTGTTTCAATATAAATATGCATTGTCATAATTAATTTTGAATACAAACAAGTTTTGGGGTTGAACCAACAGTGGGGAATCAGTCTACCGAATGTCCTTAAAAGATGTAAATATCTTACAAAAACATTGGTGTCTTATTTGTTTAATTATTTTAAGGAACATAATTTCCAGCTTTATTGAAAGTAATTGAGATATTTTAGAATAAAAACAAATGTCTCATTGCAAAAAAAAAGTGCTGCATTTAGATGTGAATAGATTCATAAAACATGCAAGATAACAGAAAAATTTAGCTGGCTTTAGTTCAAGTATTTTGCACAGGTGTCTGGCAAAAATGAATGATTCACTGAGACAAATATGAACTGCCTCATTGTGTGACTACTGTACAGTGTTCTCCACAATCCAAATTAGCTGGCGGCCTAATTAGCATAAATTTGCATATATTAATTTGCATGTCATTTACATACAGCATTCTCACATTTATAACATGAACTGCAATACACACTAAGTTATTTACTATTCTCTTTTTAATTTAATTTAATTGGAACATGTTACAATTTTTACAGGTAGAAAATATACGAGATGATTTGCCCACGAAGCCAAAACAGACAATTTGTCAAAACAAAATCCATAACATTTTTATTTGTGGCATCAGTACTCACCCGTGCCGACGGACGGTAAGATGCATTGGAATTCAAGAAAAAAATGCTAGCAATCA